AGAGAATAATGGACAAAAAATATAAAGAATAGAGATAAATGGCCTGAAAAATAAAGAATATAGAAATGAAGGACCCCATCCAGACCCTCATGTAATGTAACTTGCCCTGAAAAGTGATTAAGGCTATATTACATCATTTTATCCATGTCAGAATGTTGGGAAAACTGTTACAGGGTTACGTTTCAAATCTCATTGTCAGAATGTTGGGAAAACTGTTACAGGGTTACCTTTCAAATCTCATTGTCAACTAAGAGAAAAATTATGAGTGGGAAATTCATTGTACAAAAAAGTTTCATGTTGATAATATTATATTTCTTTCCTTTTGGCAGTTTAATTATTCCTGGAAAATAAATGCATGACAATTTCTATCCAATTTTAATAGAGTTTATTTAATCTATCTGAAAAAAAGCCAGGACGAAAAAAATATAACACTATGTACTCTCAAGGTAAATTATAAATCATGAGAGATAATTTTTACAACACTAAATTAAAGTGTTGCAGTATTGGCACGCGATATCCCAATCCAAAATCTGTGGAGGGATGCAAACCCTCAAGGAGCAATTACACAAAAAATACAAACGGTGGGTACAAATGTACATGTAAGGATTTTGCTCTGTTGGAATCTTATCCAGATTTTACTTAAGAAATGTACTTAACAAAGTGTGATTGTTCCTTCAGGGAATCAGAATTTCAGATCCCTCCGAGGGGTATCTGGTGTGGTATTTTTAAATGAGGGGGAAAGCAGGGGTGAATTTTTTTTTTCTTTTTTCTTTAACGATCCCTTAATTGCATCTCAGGAGACTGGTCTTGAGTTGTTCATTTAGCTCTCATCAATAAAAAAGAGATCTATCTATATTGTTCCATACCTAGAGATAGGGTTGCACAATTTTACAGAAATATTTGAATAGATCTGTTGATATGGTCATGAAGTAATCTATGGTCAAGTAATTTATATAGATCTGTGGACAAAGTCAAGTAATTTAAATAGATCTGTGGACATGGTCAAGTAATTAATATAGATCTGTGGACATGGTCAAGTGATTTAAAAAGATCTGTAGGCATGGTCAAGTAATTTGATTAGATCTGTGGACATGGTCAAGTAATCTAAATAAATCTGTGGACAATATGTCACATGGTCCATTATTTTCTCAAAAGCAATATTTTGCATGCACCTACAAATAAATCAACAAAAGGTGTATAATACATAAATATATGCTAAGTACAAATGTTTAGCTACATATATTTTTGTGTTTAGATTTAAAAAATAAAACTTTACTTCTAAACATATCAATAAATAGATTATCATATCAAAGGAATTATTTACCGTAAGGTGCAATGCTTACTCAACCAAAAAATTATGAAAATAGTACTTCCGCATCTTTTGAAAATTTACATTTAAAGTTTTGTAATTGACGTAACACATACATTTACTGATATACTGAGAAAAAGAAGTTCTGTAAGTCTTATGTTTAAAAACAATGTACATGTACATTATGTAGACTATATAAATCTTGATTTTTTCTATCTTCGCTGGTTTAAGATTTCGAAACAAATTATGTTAAAAACATAAAATTCCCTAGTTGTTGAAATCTATTTTTAGTTTGTCAGCCCTTGTGGGTTACATTCATTTTCTGTAGTAAACGTTTGAGCTGCGTCGGATAGAAATTGACCTTATTCAAGTATACAGGAATCTGATGTTCAGTAGTTGTCGTTTGTTGATGTGGTTCATAAGTGTTTCTCTTTTTTTATATATAGATTAGACCGTTGGTTTTCCTGTTTGAATGGTTTTACACTAGTAATTTTTGGGGCCCTTAATAGCTTACTGTTCGGTGTGAGCCAATGCTTCGTCTTGAAGACCGTACTTTGACCTACAATGGTTTACTTTTATAAATTTTGACGTGGATGGAGAGTTGTCTCATTGGCACTCATTATACCACATCTTCTTATATCTATGTACATGTATAAGACTTTGATTGATTTTTGAATATTCAAATACAAATAAAAGTTGAATTATGGTCTGTTTTGTAGGCAAATATATCAACGCAATTTTCAAACAGTTACAGACTTTGTATATAGATTTTTTCAAGCTGAAATAAAAGAGAGACGAAAGATACCAAAGGGACATTCAAACTCATAAGTTAAAAATAAACTGACAACGCCATGGCTAAAAAAAGACCAACAGACAAACAACAGTACACAAAACACAACATAGAAAACTAAAGACTGAGCAACACAAACCCCACCGTAAATAAGTTAACAGATGCATTGATATTCTTTTGAATAAGGTCGATTTCTATCCTACGTCGCTCATTTATTATAAAACACTCCAGATTTACATATGTATGTTGGTCCTTGTTAAAATTTGCCAGTCAGAACTGACATGACTGATTATGATGGTATGAATTGCATCATCTCTGAAATTCAAATATATGTGTGTATGATTGGTTAAAAATGTACAACATTTTAGTTAAATGCGATAGCACTATGTTGAAATAATTATAACATACATTACTGGTGAAATAATAACACACTGGTGAAATTAATAGCACTATGGTGAAATAATAGCACTATGGTGAAATTAATAGCACTATGGTGAAATAATAACACACTGGTGAAATAATAACACACTGGTGAAATAATAACATACTGGTGAAATAATAACATACTGGTGAAATAATAACACACTGGTGAAATTAATGGCACTATAGTGAAAAAATAACACTATGGTGAAATAATAGCACTTTGGTGAAATACATGTAATATCACTATGGTGAAATGATAACCCTGCAACAATGCATTAGTCACATACATGTAAGAAAAAGGGCTGGGAGTTTTTTTTTGTAAAAATCACATGAATTTTCTTTGGATTACTACAGTCATTCCCAAGGTCCATCAGACATGTGGCAATGTCCAGTAATAGATGGTTTGGTCCAGTGAAATGTCATCAATTATTGGACCAAATGACCAGTGTAGATGTAAGAATTTTGTAATAATCATATCGTAAAAGACTGCTAAAAACACTGACTGGACCAGTAATGCATGAACAATTACTGGACCAAAAGACCACTGAGGTCCAAAAAACCTTCGGAACCTCTCTTACTATATTATCAATGATTATATTGTAAATAAATACTGTGCTGATCATATATCATCATTGGCGTGATTGCATGGTGAAAAATTGTAACTGCGACAACACAATGTGACATTGTTAAAAAGGCCTGGGAGACTATAGATGTAAAAATTATGTAAATTTCATTTAATTTACTTCATATATTTTATTGGGATAAAATAACATGTACATGTAAATAAAGGAAACATGATAAACAACATTGGCAGACTTAATAATGACGGGGAGATTTTTTTGTAATTTTCATTTGAATTGCTACCTGTTAGTCTGTATATAATATATTGCAAATAAATAATGTGCAGATGTAAATAAAAGGAAACATTCGAAGAGATAATCCTTTAAAATTGAGGACACCGTTTTATCAGTTGTTTACGAGGAATTTTGAATTAAAATCTTCTGTAAATATTGTCCAACATACAAACAACTTTTCATAAGTGTATTTATCATAAGGTTACTTTTATCATGTTCGACAAGGTCATTTGGGTCAATTTCAATTTCCAAATCAGATGATTTAAAAGGCAATAGGATTGGAAGACAATATTTGTTCTATGAAAGTTTGACGTAACAAGATCTAGAAGACTCGAAATCTTAGTGTCATAATATATTTACAAAGTATAGTAGTGAATTTGTTTTTGTGGTAATTTGTTTTTCTGTTGAACAGTTACGAATAGATCTATAAGTTTGACATAACAAGAAGATTTTATTCTATGTGCCATATCTACGAAATGCAGTAGTGAATTTGTCTATACCGTTATATACATGTTTGATGCTCTGTTTAACAGTAAGGACTAATTCTAGAAGGATTGATTTAACAAGAAGACTCGAAATCTTCGTGTCATATTTACAAAATATAGTAGTGAATTTGTTTATATGGTTATTTGATGTTCTGATTAACAGGTAAGACTGTTCTAAAATTTGGAGGTAACAAGATACAGGTTCTAAATATTATTATTATATGACTAAAAAATTTCTATTTTCTCATTGGTTTAAAGCATATGGTATCTTCTGTGATAAAACCCTATATTCACCACCTGAAAAAAAAGTGGGAGTTTAATATAAGATTTGGAACAGCCAACAGAAGTAATTTCTGATTGGTCTTTAATTAGGTTATTTGATTCTGTGCTTAACAGGTACGACTTTTCTAGTAGTTTGCTGGTAGTTTTACGTAATAAGAAGACTCAATCTTCGTGTAATATTTACAAAGTTTTGAAGTGAATTCTGATTGGTTTAAAATTGGGTTACTTGATTACCTGGTTCGCAGGTAAGACTGTGCTGTAGAAGGTTGAATTACAGTGTACCGGTACATGTATTTAAAAGTAAAAATGACTATAGTTGGTGGGTTTTTTTCGGGTTTAAATGCTGACAGTAAACCTTGTAGTCTTAAAAAAGATGAATAAGTCTGACAACCATGCATGAATATTCAATAAGCATGGATACTGTGCATATGCTGAATATGAAAAAAGGGCGTTCAAGTGATAGTATTGCCTTTATTTGACAGCAATGTTTATTAGAGATCTGTGACAAAAAGCAGTTTCAGAATCTAATGCATTATGGGTAATATTTTCAAAAAGTGTTCACCAAAATGTTATGATTGGCTAACAACATTCTTTACAGCAGAAATTCAACCAATGATATGATGTAATTTTTTATTTTTGGGGTATGCACAATGAATTACAAATTAATTATCCTGTAGTAGATTCTGAAACAGCATATTGTTTCATTCAGGTTGTTTTGAAGATTTCCCCAAAAGTTGCTAGTAAGGACATATGTATGTATATATGGTCATTGATTTTTTTGGATTTTTTAATATATATACAAATACATTGAAGTTTATAACAGTTGTCATTCCAATTCTGATTTTATATATTTTCAGAAGTGTGACTTTTGGATGACAGTTACTGCTCAGCAGATTTAAACAAAGGATATAATCTTAACAAGCAAAATATCTAGAAGATAAATAAAAGAGGCCAACTAAAGCAGAAAAAGTTCAAAGGTATATATATATACAACTTTAAATGTGAATATATATATATTTCACTAGAATTTGAATGTTTTTGTCTGCAAAATTTGCTTTATTAACATGATTAAAATAATTAAAAGCAAATTCAATTTCAGACCTCCACATTTTTTTTGTAGTTCCGTCTCAAGTTTTAGGTAATTAAACAATGGCAAGGCGTCTGAGCTTATTGTAGTGTACATTGTTGGAATGTCAATTTGTTTCTTTTGATGTACATGTACATGTATCGTCAAAATCTCAAAATTTTAAAAATCTTTCACTATTAACATTATATGTCCTCATGGAAATAACTTCAACATGTAAGTGTTATGTTGAAGTTACTGTAACTAGAAACGTTATCAAAATACTTGCATATATATATATATATCCCAAAATCTTTTAAAAAAATTTTTAAGACCTATAAAGATTGAAAAGTTTTAGAAATTTGTATGGCTATATATAGCTAGTTGGATTCACTATTATTTAAAGAAAATGGTATTGACTCTTACGTTTCATTTTGAATACAATTTGTTATGACCTCAAGTTTTGAAGGTCGTAGAAACAATGCATGTGATTTGGGTTTGAATTTTAACGGATATGAAAATTGTTTTAGCCATTATTTAAGCCTAAAAAAATATTTTCAAAATTATACATTGTAGAAGACGTGGAAGTCTTGAGATAAGCCTTCTTTAATTTGATTTTTAATTTTACCACGCCTTTACGGAGATGAATTCTGAACAGAGGCAACTTAATGGGGACTTTTTAACTTGGGAATTTCAATTACATCCAAATTGAATATGATTTCAAACTTGAGATAAAAAGGATCAAAATTACGATTTATCTCTAAGTGAATTTGGAGGTTAGTTGACAGTAGGACATTCATAAATTATGTTTGGAGGTCATTTACTGATATGAATTGCTTTGTAGTCAGTGCTTCAGTACTAAGATGTTTAGTAACATACCTTTCTTAAATTCTCTGTAACTCAGAAATTATTTTGAAACTAAGGTCCCAACTCGTTAGGGCAAAATTGACCTTAGACCGATTTGGCTATTCATTTTAGGTCCCTTTTGGTCATTTAGCTCTTCAAGTACTTAAGGGGGCCCTCAGTGGCCAGGTGGTCTAAGTAGTTACTACTGTAATCACTAGCCAGTCAACACTGAGGTTGTGAGTTAGAACCCCCCTCGTGTGGGTTCACTCGACTCCAATCTTAATTGACTAGGATTGTCAGTTTTCCTATCGAAGGTCAGTGGTTTTCTCCGGGCACTCCAGCTTCCTCCACCAATAAAACCTGGCCGCCACGAAATAGCTCAAAAGTGGTGCTTAAAAGTGGCGTTAAAACACCAAAAATCAAAATCAAATCAAGTACTGAAGTATCTATACATCCTTGCATTTTGGCTTTCAATTTTTTTGGTTTGAGCATTTCTAAATTCTGGATCATCGGCTAGGGACTTACAGAATAGAGAATATTGGGCGAAAAATATCAAGAATAAGAGAAAAACTGACCAAAAAATAAAGAATAGAGAATAATGGGGTGCTAAAATATAAAGAATGTAGAATATTCGGCAAAGAATATTAAAAAATAGAAAAATTGGCTGAAAAATTAAAGAGTACAGAAATGAAAAATCCCCTCCCTCCAGACCTTCCTGAAGGTAAATCTTCCACCAAATTCATAATGTGATATTTTCAGAGTGTAATAACATGTATAAAAAGAAGTGATATTATTGCATCATGTAGATATATATAAAGTGCTTATATATACACTCTGTTAAGCCCCCTTGCAACAACTCTTTGAGGATTGCATAGGTGGCCTGTTGTAAGGCTAAATATCTGTCCCTTCTAATATTTTGTAGTGTCTGTCCAAATTTCCTGCCCTTCATCCCAGTCGCCTCCTATTTCAGGACCTATACCTTTGTATGTATACTTAATTTGTTCTCGCAAATGACGTTTGCATATTTACACCTAACTTTTTAATAGCGCTTAATGAATTCAAAAAAGAATTGCACAACTGCAATATAATACTCAGCAGGGTTTAAAATCAGCTGTGATAATCAGCTGTTAAAAATTAACATTCATCATTTGTATGGAAAGAAACTTGAAGTAATTTGCAGTAATTTGCAGTAATTATTGTATTATTTAAAATAACTTAGAAATGTTTATATTAGATCAAAAGATGGTTCTTAATGGATGAGATTAAAAGTTTTTATTTTGTTTCCTCTACATCTTACATGAATGAAGATTTCCTCATTTCGATACATCTGGTTTATTTTGGCTGAAATGTTGATGTAAGAATTCTGTTCTTCAGAAAAACAAAATAGAATCTTGTAATTAGTAGGTGTACTTCCACATGTTCCAGATACAGTCAAACCGGCTATTAGGGGAAAACCTGTCTTATTCAGGTCAGCCTCTTATTGTCCTGCTATAGTAATACCTCAAATCAAGTGTCATCTCTCATATAAGGTCAAATAAAGGTCAGTTTTGAATTAACGTTTTTACCTCACGTTCTATTTAGTCTGATTAACAGTGGAACTGAACTGGCAATCCTGATGAAATAGTGTTTATATATGCATGTAGTTTCTTTGGCACAATTTTTACAAAATTGTTACGATTGGTTGATTAATTCTTGTTTAAAAAATCTTGCAAGAAATAAATACTTTTAAGTCATAACTTTTTAGTTGTAATTTTTTTTTTCTGAAAAATTTGCTTCACGTTTTTTTTTTCTGGCAGAGATCAAGTTTAAAAAGGTGTTACATGAACATGTATGTATAGTTATGCCTTTATCCAAGTGGCGGCCTCTTCTGGGGAAAATTGCAGACCCAAAGGCAGGGTCCTTAATTGAGATAATGTTGATTATGAATACAGCTGTATACCATTTATGCTGTTAATCTTTAATTTTTTTTTTATATATCACTTAACTTTTATCTAAATGAAAGTCATTAATATCTATTTTCAAAACAATTTTAAGGATGTTCACTGCTCTGTTTCAAAATAACAAGCTTTTTAAAAGACTAAAATAAATTGAAAATATATGAATAAAGGAACTAAAAAAAGCAGAAAAAATGAAGGGTCTGTGTGTTTGTTTCCAAGATAAAAGCCATTGAACATTTGGCTGGAAATGATTCTCTCTAGATTTTTCATGCATTTAACATTGGAACCTTTTTTCTTTCAAAAACTGTGAAAAAAATAACAAGGATTTGATAAGATTTTCAACTATGGCTTTTTAAACTATATGTTATAAAAATATGAAAAGAAAAGTAGGGGTTTGCGGGCAAAATGTTTGAATGGCATTACATGGATAAAACCAGAGGATTCTGAATATCTGGCAAAAATTCAAAAACAAGAGGCGCGAACGTCCTTAAGGAAAAGAAGTATTAATATTCAAGTAATCAATTTAAATGTTTATTGCTATATAACTTCAAACAATTAAGTTTGTGACAAAGTACAAAATAAGTATGCAGTATAACTGAAAATTCACATACATGTACACAATCTCTTAATTACCATGATTACTGTAAATAGTCCCCAGTGTTACTAACTCGAATAATTCAAGCCCTTCGTGTCCGATTTTCTCCCACACGAGGGCTTGAACTCCTTATGATCATTGGCCGCGTCGCCTGCTCTCTGTGAGAGAGAGCCAATCGGTGGCGATCAGGATAATGAGTCTGCGCAACTGTCTTGTAATTGTCTTACCAATCACGTGTGTTCAATTAACACAAATCCGATAATAATTAATTAACATCAATTAACATCAGTTTACATCATTTAACATCAATTAACATCCGGAACTCCTCCTTCTTTAGCTGCCAACTTAAATAAAAATTCCTGTATTGCATAGCGGTGTGAATTTTCCGGTTGACGGTCTTTATCGAGGAAGACGTTCAGGCGTTAATGTAGCCTTCGTAGATCAGCGGAATATAACGACTGAATTATTCGGGTTACAGTGTTACAGTTCAGTTCTAATGACTTTTTTAATGTAGGACTTCAATTTATTTACTTGTAATGGTGTTGATGTATTAAGCCATAAAAATCATCTTTTCTTCATCAGACAAATCTTGAAAAGAAAGCCAGGCTTCTCTCCAAATTATATCATCAATATCCTGGTTTGGTCTTTTACAGAAATGCTGAATGATATTTTAGATGATGAGGAACACTGTTTCCTTCATTGCCTAATCACCAGTAACATTAGAAATCTCCTTATATATGCAATTAAAAATAAATCCATTGTCCTAATTTTAACCATATTGACAAAAACGCTAAACTTAAAACTATTTTAGATCCAAATAAAGATTAATTGGGTTTATGTTGTGGGCTACATGTAGCAATCCATGGAGTTGCGAAAATTAGGTTCGCATTGGGCAATTATCTATATATACTTACATTGTATATATTATTAACTTGACTTGTTTAGACCTTTTTTCATGTGTTGTATGTTTCTTATGTACAGGTCATGTTTGCATTTTAACCATTGTCAGGGTTTTACTTTTTGCAATAAAGTATATATGAGGTTATGGATGGGGGTTTACAGAATAGAGAATAATGGGGAAAAAATATAAAGAATAGAGAAAAAAGGAGCAATAAAATAAAGAATAGAGAATAAATAGATGCTAAAATATAAAGAATAGAGAATAATGGGCAAAAAATATAAAGAATAGAGAAAAATGGGCAAAAAGTATAAAGAATAGAGAAAAATGGCCTAAAACATTAAAGAATACAGAAATAAAGGACACCCCCATCCAGACCATCATATATATGATTGTAAAAAATTTATCATGAATATTCCTGGTTATTGATTTAACAGAAATGCTGAATTTCATAATACAAGTACATGAATTAAACACATATTGATTATTTTTTTGATTTAATGCATTTACAATCAGTGTAAAAAATAGATTTTAGGAAAATAACGAAAATAACTTTGTTTTGTTAACTGGTATCTTGGCAAAGTGTCAGTTTAATGCAATATATCTTTTTACCTGATTTATTTGACTTAAGTTCATAC